AGTAATAGAAAATGACAAACATGCTGGCTATGTCCCAACATTACTTCAACATTGCTGTGTTTTGAATAATGTGCTGGGAATTAAATTTCTGAAGTAGTTTATGAATGGCATTTGGATGTGGGAGTCTTTGGGAGATGATTCGGATTGGGCGACATCACAGAAGTGGAACCTTTACAATGCAATTAGTGGTTTTGGAAGGAGGAGAAGCCCAGGCTATTTGTTTTGTTGTCCCATGTGGTACTTTCTGCTGTGTCCTGATGTAGCAGGAAGGCTCCGGCAAGATGCTGAAGAGTGGGATGTGGGTTTTCAGCCTCTAGAATCACAAGTCAAATAAACCTCTAGGTTCTGGCATCACTAAGCTGTAGAGCACTTGTATAGCACAAGCAAGGGTCTTGGTTCCATTCTAGCATTGCAAAGACAAATAAACAAACTTCAGCTCTTAAAAAGCAACCAGGTCTCAGATATTATGTTAGAGTCACAGAAAATGAAGGCAAACATCTATCAGTGATGGTGACATTATGCTTTTCTGTTATACTGTCTTTAAAAACTGGGCCTGTACTTTAGAAGCTCAGAATGGCATCTTTTCAGAGTCTCTGTAACAACATGTGCCTTATGATCCCAGCACAGGACAGTAGGGGTCTCACTAAAATATGAGCAAAATCAACATCTGCTAAGGTAACCATGATGAGTAACAATAACCAGAGCTAAGCTACCCAACAGCAGGACATTCTACCTATATGACAATCCATGAGTGTGGTGGGGATTTCTCCACTTTGCCTCTTTAAGGTTAGTAATTAGGAATGGTCATTAAGAGCATGCTGTCAATCCCACTTTAATTTTAAATATTGTTATTACACATATGCAGCTTGTCTCAAAGCCCAGAAAACAAATGAACCTATGTTACCCAAGCTAGAGAGTACATGGTATTGAAGATGTTTTGTGCTCTATCTCTGTCTCTCCAAGCTCAGAGCCTGCGTGAAAAGGTTCAGGGATCTCAGGGGAAAAGGACAATCCCCTGATTGTCTATCCAACTCTGATTCAAAACTTCATACAGATGCTCCTGGAAACAGTTGATTGTAGACAACAGCATCTGGATACATATAAATGTCACATTTATGCTGTGCTGTGGTTTGTTCAATGAGCAAAAAAAGATTAATGTACTTTAAAAATACTTATTGCCAAAAGCAGTGTGAAACACATATACAAAGTTAGCACATGCTGTTGGAGAAATGGTGCCAAGAGGCTTGCTGGTCAAGGGCTGTCAAGTCTTTAATTTGTTAAACACAGTTTCAGCCAAGTGCCATGACATGAGGTAGGATAAACTGAGGTGTGTCTGTGTTCAATTCCACACACCACTGAATCTGAACTGTGCTATGTCTCTCTTTGGACTTTCTTGGATTTTTGTTGGGGAGGAGAAATTATCCCCCCAAACACATAAGCAATGGGCAATCCTTGGCTTCAAGGGTTGTCACTTGACGTTTTACTCCAAAGTGCCTCTTGCCTTAGTAGCTGAGGTAGAGCAGAGGAGAAGAAAGCTACAGTTTATTCATTAATTTTTGCTCAAACTGACCCATTTGGTAGCTGCTGCTGCTTCTTTTTTTTTGGTTTGGAGAACAGCCAGAGAAATCCAATTTGCAAAGAGTGTGTGGTGAGTACCACACAGCAGCTGACTTGCAGATGGTGGCAGACTGTGTCTCCCACAGTGGACGGCAACTTTTCCCTCCTCTCTGCTGAGAAGAATTGCAAGGCCCCATGCCTGACATGAAGACAGCCACTTGTGCTTGGGTTTGATGACTCTGGGTCTCCCTGGTGTCTTTTGCTGCTTCTGATCATAGTGTTAATCACTGCAACTGCCCTTTTGCAGCAGGTTAAAAAACACAATGACCCAAGAAGCCTCTGGATTTTAAGATTTCACTTTTCTGGCTTATTTAATTTACATAATAATTTGTTCAGCATTTGTGTATTCCCTTATTTGGTTGTTTTATACTAAATAAAATTTCCTGGCAATTCCCCAAATGTGTGCCCCTCTGCTTGCCTCTGCAGTCATTGTCCCCATAGCAATAAGGAAAGTAAATGACTGTGGGCTGCCTGCCCAGCATTCAGATAAGTCCAAGGCAAGCTTTCTGAGCTGCTAAACAGATTTAGAGTCCTTAAACTGTTTGAGGGAACAGTATTTCTCCTGTTTTATTTATTAATTCCATTAAACCATGCACAGGGTAAATAGTAAGGTTTCCTTTATCTTGGAAGACCGAGACAATTTCCTCTATGTGAGGATTTGATGAGCCTCCTGTGTCTAGTCATGCAGACTCATCCTTACACAGTGCCATCTGATGTGAACTGGTGTCCTTGTATACAGTCTATCACCCGCCCTCACAAAATTCAGCAAAACAAGTGTACACTATCTCTTCACTCTGTGATACAGCTGTATCTGTCATGTCCACAGAAACAGAAAGCTAGAATATTCATGTCTTCAAGGAGTGCAGTCTCCCCTCTCTCTCTCTCTCTCTCTCTCTCTCTCTCTCTCTCTCTCTCTCTCTCTCTCACACACACACACACACACACACACACACCCCTGAAGCTGAGATGGGTCCATAGCAGAAATAGGAACCATGAATTATTGCCGATCACGAAACATTCAGTAATTTTTCCTATCCAACTGTACCCCCATGATGGTAATGGTTAATCGGCATTGCTGCCATCTGCTCCCCCACACAGTTCCCCCGTTTTGGCAATGACTGAGCAATTAATGTGGTTGGGTTTGGAGGAAGGATTCTTGGGTTAAGTTGGCATGGAAGACAACTAGGAGGCAGTGTAACAGACCAAGGGGACCACCCAAACATAGCGCCTGTTAACATACAGGCTGTAGTGGGAAAGTGGTAACCTTTTACTGAGATGCTAAAGGTCCATGAGGGGGATGGGACAGGATGTAACTGAAAAAGTGGGACAGTGAAGGAAGGTTATGATGCATGTTGCTCATTACAGAATATAGACTTTGGAATCAGCCTGTGTTTCAGTATCAGAGGAATGGATAAAGAAAGCAAGACTGATGCACAAAGGAATATTATTCAAATGTGAATATACATAGCTGAACACCTTGTTACAGGATCCAGATAACTTTAAGGCAGGCAGACAGGCAAGCAATTCTTTATTCAGTTCCCTAGTTTGTTCATGTTCTCAGAGGTGGAACACCAGGGAATGAATGACCTCATAAGCTTACCTACCATTTTGTTTATTCCTGTTCAATGGAAACACCACATGTGATAAATTTGAGCCATTTTTTTTTAAGCTTAGGTCAATAATGTTCTTGATGGCCGAAAACATCCTTGGTTCATCTTAGGTTCTCCAGAGTAGTTAGCACCAAGTAAAGGACTTAGTCACTGTGCAGCAGAAAGGGATGCATGGAGGAATGGAGCCAGGAAAAGATGGAGTGGACACAGAAGAGAGGAAGAAAGGGAGGAGGAAGAGACAGGATTGAAAGAATAGAGGGTGGAGTCTTCTAAATGTGGCCAGGAAGTTAGGGGCTAGCTTAGGCAACTTGTACAAGTAGAAAGGATTGGATGAAAAAGTCTTCAATGAAATACTTGAAAATCAAATTTAAGAAAACATAAAGTTCATTCATCACAATCAAATCAGCTTTACTTCAAGCCTGCAAGGATGGTTCAACATGTGTATATCAATATCGCTAAACACGTTGTAACAGGATTCGGATAACTTTAGTTAAGATAACTAAACTGTAGCACATTATATAGTGGACTCAAGGGTTCAAGGATAGAAATCATAGGGTATTTCAATAGATGCAGAAAAGGCTCTTGACAGAATCCAATATCCTTTCATGATAAGAGTCCTGGAGAAACTTGGAACAGAAGGGACATATTTTAAAATAATAAAGGCTATATATGACAAACTTACAGCCACCCTTTATATTAAATGGGAAAAACCTGAAGCATTTCTATTAAAATCAGGACAAGATACAGCATCCACTTTCTCCCCTTTTAAAATATAGCTATGGGAGTCTTGGCTAGAGCAGTAAGACAAGAGGCACTAATAAAAGAGACGTGACTAGAAAGGGCAGAAGTCAAACTGTCTCTATTTGCAGATGATATGATTCTATACCTGAGATCTCAAAGACTCTACTAGAACATTCTTCAGCCGATTAACACTGTCAAGTGGCAAGATATAAATTATTATACAAAAATCTGTTGCCCTCCTATCTACCAATGACAAACCTGCTGACAAAGAAATAGAGGAAGCCATCCGTTTACAAGAGCCATCATAAATGTGAGATATATGCAAGTAAACACAATGAAGGAAGTGATGGCCTCTATAATAAAGACATCGAAACACTAAAAAGGGGCCCATTTCTCAAGAGAGAAATTGAAGAAGACCCTGGAAGATGGAAAAACCTCTCATGCTTGTGAGTTGGAGGAATCAATATCATGAAAATGCCATCTTACCAGAGACCATCTAAAGACTCAATTAAGTCCCCACCAAAGTGCCAACATCATTCTTCCCAGACATTGCAAAAAAAAGTTTAAAGACTCAGTTTGAAACATAAAATTCTTAGATAGCTAAGGCAATCCCAAGTAAAGAGCAATGCTGGAAATAACCCAATTTAAAAATGGGGCACAGAACTGAACTGAGAATTTTCAAAAGATGAAAATACAAATGGCCAAGAAACAAGGAAGTGTTCAGTATCTTTAGTCATCAGGAAAATGCAAATCAAAACTACTTTGAGATTTCATCTTAACCAGCCAGAATGGCCAAGGTCAATAAAATAATGACAGCTCATGCTGGTGAGGATGTGGGAAAAGGGGAAATCTTATCCATTGCCGGCAGGTGTGTAGACTTGGACAAACACTATGGAATCAGTGTGACATTTCCTCCTGAAACTAGAAATACATCTTCCTCAAGATGCAGCTATCCATCCCACTCTTTGGTGTATACCCAAAGGACTCTATTGCGGTGTCAGGTGCGAGCAGTCAGAAAGGCTGGTGGCTTACCTCCTTTTCTTCTTCCACAGAAAGAGAACTTGGGCAGGTCATTCTCACAGATGGGGTAGGAGTAGTTCAGAATAGAAGAGCCTCTTGAGATAAGAGCTATGTCCAGAAACAGCTCTCTGATGTCCTCTCCTAGAAAGAAGTACAATTTCAGTACCATGTATCTGCCCTGCCAGGTCACTCAAGGCCCAATAGCTCTGTCTAAATGACCTTTACAGCCTTCGGCCTGATGCATGTGGAGGGGGGTAGGAGGATGTCTCTTATTGACAAAGCAGCATTTCTAGCTGAAGCTTTACCTGTTCTGGGTAAGGCAGCTTGAGGTAATATATTGTTCATGATCTAATAAAGCTTACCTGAAGGTCAGAGTGCAAAGCAGCCAGACTAGTTAGCCATAGAGGCAAGTCAGGGGCAGCACATGCCTTCAATCCCAGGGTTCAGGAGACAGAGGCAGATGGATCTCTGTGAGGTCAAGGCCACCCAGGGCTACATGAGAGCAAATCAGTTTAAAGGAGAAACAGAGTTCACATCTTAAATTCCAGCACTAGGGAGATGGAGACAGGAATGATATGGTTGGGCAGAGAAGAACATAAGGAAGGAAGAGATGGGATCTCCCAGAGAGCACTCTGGTTTTTGATGGAAAGTATAGCAGTCTGAGTGAGCAGAGAAGTCAGGTGCAGTCTGAGGACAGGATCGCCCCTTCAGTCTGAGCATTGGTAGAAGTGAGAATGCTCTAGTAGCTGGCTGCTTTGCTTTTCTGATCTTACTTTTATTAATCCATGCTGTAGCAGTTCATTGGCTACACTCCCCTCTTGATGCTCAGTGCTCTACCCATCAATGGGATGTCTACAAGCCTGGCTTTTAGAGTTCCTTTTTTCCACGGTGTAATTTATCCCCATAATAGGAGCAGGGCATGGCTGGATCTGCATATTCCCACTACTGTTGCCTGAGAGATACTGCAGATGGCTTCCTAGAGATTTTTAGCAAGCTTTGCTGGCAGCTTCATTTTTCTCTGGCCCTTTTCCCACTCCTTTGTTTTGTTTTTCACCCATTCTTCCCCCTCCCCCCAGCTTGGTTTCCTTCAGATTTCTTCAGATGCTGTGAAACCTGATATTGTTCAGAGTTCTAGAAAGACACAGTCATTTGAGATTCCTTCATTATCGAGAATGATTCTAGATGCTCAGTTACTGAATGTTTTTGCTCCGTTTTGAGAAAAACTGCTCTTAAAAAAGCAGGGATACTTTAGTAGCTCTGGTAGACATACTGGTTTACTCTAATGACATGGCAAAACAAGAAGCTACCAGGTAGTGTATGTCTCATAGCCTAGGCTGGGAAGAAAGATTTGGTACCTACATTCCCCCTCCCCCAAATTATAAGAACTTCCATTTGGCAAGCAAAATAATGTGAGTAATAGACCATGCTGTTAGTTATGGGGCACAGCAGATTTGTTTGTGGCAATGTAATGTGTAAGCCTCTTGTCTGTGTAACCACAAGACACACACTTCTTCTTTGCTGTTTATGGTGACCAGGGGCTGACGGTGTTAAGTGAGCACCTGGAGTCTCTTTAATACCAAAGCACAGCATTCCATGACTCTGAGGGATTGACCAGAGAGGGGATATGAGAGATGAAGGGTTGCAGTGCAGACTGCTGTGTTTGTCAATGCGAGTCACTGTGTATGCAGAGGAGGAGGCTCTGTTATGCTTTATGTCGCGGAATTCACATTACTTACTCAGAATAAGGCCAAATCTAATGTTGAGGTTTGGCGGGATATGCTTGGAACACTGGTCAATGGAAAGGCCAAAATCCTGTAAGGGATCTGCCAAAGAGGACACCAAGAGATTAGCTGTGAGCACACTGAACTCATCTGTGAGGGCGTCTGCCCTAATGGCTTTTGCAGGCCTCACTAAAGGGCCCCACACTTAAAAAGGCCTGTGACATTTCAGCAACTTCTCCCAGCCTGTCCGAAGTCACTGTCACCTTCACTCTGATGACATGTCTCAATCCACAGATAAGTTTATTGTTTACATTTTTTCATCTTTGCTCAAGTTCTTTGAGTCCTTGACCTTCATTTTGCTGACAGGAGATGTGTGTAGACATTCAGGTAAGATGTCCCTTTACAATCCTGGTTTATCTTATGCTACCCCATCCCATTCAACAGAATCCCTCCCCCCAATATTCTATTCTGTGCAAGGCATTACGCTAAACATTCAGGGGCTAGAGATAATGTATTTTACATGTAATTTTTGCTTTTTTAAACAGTCCCTTATGAACCAGAATAAAAAGCAAAAAGAGCCTACTGTCCCCCACCCCAAGCCATACTTCACATCCTGAGTCCATTTTGTGGACTACACACACACACACACACACACACACACACACACACACACATACACACACAGTACAAATCTCCAGCTTTCTGATTTGCTTGTATACTTTCTCTCATTTCACGTTTCGTTCTAATTCTTGCCTTTTGTGAAGCTTCCCCATAGTCTTGAAAATAGTTTTTTGCTTCTCTGAATTCATAAATTCTTCAAACTGTGTAAATATGTCTAAATCATCCTTCACTATCCATTCTAGGACCAAAATCCACAGGTGCCCAAGGTCTTGATATAAAATAGCATATTTTCATAGAACCTAAAGTGTACATGTGAGTGTCTACATGTATGTATGTATGTGTACCACATGGTACCTGTGGAGGACAGAATGAGGAGTTGGATCCTCTGGAACTGGAGTTGTAAACTGTCATGTGGGTGCTGGAAATTAAAAGTGGGCTTTTGATGAGTCGTGGCTTCAGTCTCCCTGTGCCAGGCAGTTTACATCTTTTCTAAGAGATGTAAGTGTGTTGCAATCGGGTGGTCCAAGGCAAATGCAGTGCGAATCATTGCTATACTGCGTTGTTCTGGAAACACTCACATGAATCTGAGGATGTGGCAACTGTGGCTATAGAAACCCATCTGTATTACTTGGTAATTTGCTCTGTGCCTTAACCTTACTTACAGCACCTAGTGTAAACTTAAGCTCCTTTAAGACAGGAGGTATTTTTGTGGTCATTTATTTTTCATTCCCTTTTCCATTCTGCTTCTCATTGGTCCTAAGGGAGGAAAGCCAACTTAAGCTTAGAATTTTATAAGAATTTTTGATGTATGTTTCCAGACTCCCCGATACTCAGCTTATCTGATAGACAGGTACCCCACAAATACACATAATGAATATGAGTATGGGTCATCTGTTAAGCTGTCCACATCTGAGCTGCAAATCCAGCCTTTGTAGTTTGCTTTGTGAGGCTGCCCCTCCGCAGACATTCCTCTGTTTGTTATATGTAGTCAGAGTGACATGGAGGCCAGAGCCAGGGTCTGGACTTGCTTTTCATCAGTTTCCAGCAGTGCTTGCTTCCAACATATGCTTCTCTAGCACCTTCCTGGAACCAGTCAGGCTCAGCTCTGTGTGTTCCCCAATCTATGCAAAAATAGTGCCTCAGAAGTGGTTACCTCTTCCCATTTCAGACCACAAGGTCTGTCTCCCAAGCACACAGATTTTCATCCTGCCAGCTTTTGCCCTTTGCTCTCCCAGCCCTCAAGGCGGCAACTCTTCTTCACTGTCGCTTGGCTTGTCTACTTTTTCAATTCAGTTAATTAGCAAATTCCCTATATTAAATTATTTATATTAAAATTAATTGATTAGTTATTAGTCCCTCTATAGGATCTAGACTGGTGGAATAAAGAACAATCTGAGAAATAGATATGGCTTTCTTCCTTTCATATATTGCAGCATATAGACTCAGAAATGTTGTATTAACTTAACTAGATCCCAACATAGAAAGGGCCCGAGGCAAGATATAAACTCAGCATTTACAAAGGCACAGACAAAACCCACTGCTGCTCAGTAAGTATTGTGCATTGTAATCAGTAAGTAAATCCTAGGAAATGTATGTTAATTTCATTTGTAGCACCGCCTGGGACATTTTCTGTGCAGGTATATGGCATTGGGTAAATTAGTTTCATACTTGCTTTTCTCTGTGAGTTCCTAGGCAAAGATCACCATCCACATACTGACCCAAGAGGTGATGCATCATTGTCTCTGATGCTTGTGATAGAAATGTGATAGAAATTTGCAGCTCCAGCCTGGCAAATCTAACACAGGTGTCCCTCTAATCAAACTCCTTCTGGTTTGCCTTCTAATCTTCTGAGGGAGATGGCCCTCCCCCTTCCCACGGTCACTTGACTTCTTCCTAAACATTTTCATGCTATCTTAGGACTTTTATTCAGGTTGGAAAACAATGTTGGGGAGGGAAGAGTCAATCGTTCCTGCTACACACTTAGCACTCAATATGGAAGAAAACAGAGGCCACCAGAACCATGGACATCTAGGAAAGTGCACCCTCAAAATTGTGCATTAATTTAAATTGCCATCCAAGGCAAAAAGAAAAAAGGTACATGTATTGTTCAGTTAGCAGTTACAGAATCCCAGGCAGTGCTTATCAATATTTTAAAGCTATACATAGGGAAAACTAAAAGGAGAAAGAAATAAAGCCTCTTCTTGGTCTTAGAAAAATAATTTTAATAAGAAACAAAGTCACAAAGGGATCAGTAGGTCGTTTGTCTCTTCTCTCTGAGGAAATGTATATGGAAACAGAAATATTAGTTTAAAAGTACTTAGGGATTTTCTGAGCTTCCCTGGCAATTTTATCGAGTTTATATGCGAAAGTGATGTTTTTGGATATAAGCATGCCTACAAACCTGTATGAAAAGGTGACGTCACCTCCTTCAGTCCCACCCTCATGTTCTTTCTTGTGTTTCCATTTGGGGATGTAGCATGCTCTGTGTTGTGCATTTTGCACATCCTGCCTTTCCTCTATTAGACATGGGCTCCCAGAACCAGGGGTGTCATGTCATATTATGCTAGCTCCTCAGTAACTGTTGCAAGTAAAATATTGACGGTTGTTTGGAATAATACCATTGAGAACCTTAAAGCAAAATAACTTAACCTCATCATTGTTGTCATTTAATCTCAGACAATCTTTTGTATCACAGGACGGCAATCAGCATCTCCAGTTGCTCTCCAGTGTGAGAAAGCATCCCTGTGACAATCCTAGTGTGACAGAAACTGCTGACACCCCCCCCACTCCGCCCCATAAAGTACTAATTTATCTCTAGTGAGGTGGCACTGTCTTAAAAAAGAAACCTTTGCAGGCAAGTTAAGGGGGGGGGGGTAAATGAAGCAGGAGAGGTGAGGTGGAGTCCTAGGGGCAAAAAGACTTAAGCAGGGAAAAATGTGGGAGCATGGGGGAAACCAGGGATGAAAGGAGGGACTAACCCAAAGGAAGAGGGTGTGAAGAGCCACGTGGAAGCCTACTCTCTCACAGCCCAACTTAAAAACATTAAGTAGAGGGAGAGTAGAACACGTGCGAGAAGAAAGAAGAGGGGAAGTACCTAGGGTTAAAGCATTAAGCAGGGATGGAGGAGGTGGTGAGAAAGAGGAGGGAGAGTGGGAAAACCAAAAACAAAACAAAGCAAAAATAACAAAAAAACCCAAAACAAAACTAAGGATGCATGAAGATGCCTCATAGAAATCCCTGGTTAGTAAGATAATTTCAAAATACAACCTGACAATGAAAGTTCAAGCAGAACACCTGCGTTGGTGGACAATGCTCCTGCAGAGAAGTGTAGATTTCACAAGGTTTAGGCCTGCCAGACAGTACAGGCCATTGCCATTGCCCTTGGTTATCCCTCTTGACTACATGGAAGGGCCCTACTGCTACTGACATCACACACTCTGGCTGCAAGACATAGAGAAATCAGTCTGCTGGAAAGTTTTCATAGTCCTAGAAAACACTAGAGGGACTGATGGAGAGAAAAGAAATTAGCATATCACCCAGTGCCGGAATTGATACTGAGCTGCCAGGTAAGATATGCTTACTAGTGTAATAGTGACATCACTGGTATGCAGTAACTAACCACTTTCTGATTGGATTTGAAGGCTGATCTACTGGGAAGGATTTCGTGCTTGGTCCTGTATCCCTTGTTGAAAGCCTGTGGCTGGGGAGATCATAGTCCCTGGTGCACAGCCAGTTCTTAGTATTTTACACCCATAGACTTAGGCTGCTGTCAACCCAGAGAGCTTCCTTTTGCAGTGATACCACGTTGGTAGGTTTCCTATGCGCCAATGGATGGCCCTCGTAGCATGTTTGGCTCACAAAGGCCAATGGTACCATATCCATCTTGGACATTCTAGTATATTTGTGGAACAAAATTGCAGGAACCAGTGGGGCTTAAAAGGAGTGATGTCTCAATGAATACCAGCTCCAGAGCCTTTCTCATGCCTTACACTCTTAGTTGTCTGTCATCTCTTGGGTCACATTGACTAGGGCGATGTCCCAGAAGCCAGCATCCTTGCTTTGGTACTTTCTGGCTAGTGTGTGTTTGGGGGAGATAGAGATTTCAACTGGAATAGATGGGAAGATATAAAAAAAACCTCTGGAAATGCAGTTCTTTAGCTGAGGATGATGGTGTGGGGGCATCCCTCTGGGCTTCTGGTTGCCTCTGTCTTAGGCGTCCAATGGATGTGTGTCATCAAGTCCTGGATTCTGTGTACTCCCTGAAGCCTCTGTGTTTCCTGATGGCTAGCTTGAGTCCACATAACTCACTCAAATTACTCCAGTGTTCTAGTTTCATCCTGTGACTGTGGTAAAGACTCTGACCAAAAGTAACATAGGAGAGAAAAGGGGTTTATTTGTCTTTGTTTGTTTGTTTTTTCTGTTTTTTTGAGACAGGGTTTCTCTGTATTATTTTGGAGCCTGTCCTGGAAATAGCTCTGTAG